GAGGTGCCACCCAGGGTCCACGCTCTTATGAGGACGCACTGGATCCAGCGCACAGCCAGGGCGTCTCAGTGGGTGCGGCGCTTTTGGGAGGTAAGGGAGCAAAGTGGCTGTGTCCAGCCCAGGAGGCGGGCGGAGGGGTGTGGGGGAGGAGGAGGGGGCGGGGGTGCTGGGCTTGGAGCCTCAAAGGTCTTTCTTACAGAGAGGACCCAGGCCGCACCACTCCCGGAGCCCACCCAGGACTTGGAGGCAGCTCTGGAGATTAGGGGGTGCGGTGGAGCTGGGGGTAGGGAAGGGGCGGGACTCGCCGGAGCGCAGAAAGGGACCCTCCCAGGAGCACACTGCCCGAGGGGAAGGGGTGAGGGGAGGGGAGGGAGAAGAGGCGGAGCTGGGGGGCCAGGACAGTCACTGAGGAAAGGGGAATACTGGCTGGGAGAGGGTGGCGAGGGAGTGCGGGGTGTGGGAGCTGCAGGGCTAGCGCTCCGGGCCGGTGGGGGCAATGCCACGTCCCCCCCCTCCCCCCCTCCCCCCGATCCCCAGACGCTCAGTCAGGAATCTCTGCGGGGACATTCTCCCGAAGGGCTGGTCATCGGAACCCGCCCGGCAGTCTCTGCGCCTCACCCTCCCTCTCCCGGGGCAGAAGGGGCCAGGGGGCGTGGCCATACGAAGCTCTGGGTCTCGGTACCCTGCGCCCCTCGGGTCCCCGCCCCACAATCCAGCCGCTAGAACAACTGGACACTCCGCGGCTCACCTCGGGGGCTCCCTGCCGGCTGCGCGCGGAGATCCGGGCTGAGGTGGAGGTCCGAGCCCCCGGCGCACCCTCTCCCGCGGGGCCGGGAACAGCTGCTGCTGCGCGCCCTCCGGGAGGGAGCGGAGGGGCTTGGTCCTAACCCGGGAGGGGGAGCGGAAAGCCGGGTCCTCGCACGGAGCACCCGTTACCCGCAGAGTCTGGGCCAGGACTCTAGACGCACCGAGACCCCTTTCTGAGGTTTCCAGCCGGTGCCGCTGGGAAGGAGACCCCCACGGGCCGCGCCCCGCCCCGCCCCCGCCCCCGCCCCCGCCCAGCCGACGTCGCATTAGCATGAACGACGCAAGTGGCCGGGGCACCACTCGGGGGCCGAGACTCACAGCGTCACAGCCCCGAGTGGAAAGGGAAAAAAGAGGAGGCGAAGGAGGAGGAGGCAGGAGCCGGCGCTCAGGGAGGGGAGAGCGGCGGCAGGGCGAGCAGCCGGCGCGGGCGGCCTCTCCGCGGCGGGGGAGGCTCCGGGGGCGCCGGAGGGCAGGGCGCTCCGCTCCGGCCCCGACCCCTCTGCGCGCCGCCTGCCTGGACACCCCTGCACAGCGGCGGCGGGTCTGGGGTTCCGCTCGGAACAGCGGCGGCGCCTCCCCAAACAGGGTCCTTGCCTTCCCCGGGGCGCAGAGCCATGAGCCTGGCCGCCACCTGAGGCACAGGCGGCGCCGCGGGGCGCGGACCGCACCCCCGAAGTCCGAGCTCTCTTCTCTGCCGGCAGGGCGCCCGCGTCCGACCCCTGCGGAGGTGTCCTCGCTAGAGCGGCCGGTGGGGCGATGGAACCCGCAGGCCCGGCCCGGGAGGCGGCTGCCAAGCTGTCGGAGGCGGTGGGCTCGGCGCTCCGGGAGCCCCGCAGGCAGCGCCGCCTCTTGCTGGTCATCGTGTGCGTGGCGCTCTTCTTGGACAACATGCTGTACATGGTCATCGTGCCCATCGTGCCCGACTACATCGCCCACATGCGCGGGGGCAGCGAGAACCCCACCCCGACCCCGGAGGTGTGGGTGCCCACCCTGCCGCCGCCCACTCCAGCCAATGCCAGTGCCGGCTCCACGGCCAACAGCTCAGGGTCCCCGACGGCTGCGCAGCCCGCCGGGTCTGCCCTGCGGCCCCGCTACCCCACGGAGAGCGAGGACGTGAAGATCGGGGTGCTGTTCGCCTCCAAGGCCATCCTGCAGCTTCTGGTGAACCCGCTAAGCGGGCCCTTCATCGACCGCATGAGCTACGACGTGCCGCTGCTCATCGGCCTGGGCGTCATGTTCGCCTCCACCGTCCTGTTCGCCTTCGCTGAGGACTACGCCACGCTTTTCACGGCGCGCAGCCTGCAGGGCCTGGGCTCCGCCTTCGCCGACACGTCCGGCATCGCCATGATCGCGGACAAGTACCCCGAGGAGCCGGAGCGCAGCCGCGCGCTGGGCGTGGCGCTGGCCTTCATCAGCTTCGGCAGCCTCGTGGCGCCGCCCTTCGGGGGCATCCTCTACGAGTTCGCGGGCAAGCGCGTGCCCTTCCTGGTGCTCGCCGCCGTGTCGCTGTTCGACGCGATCCTGCTGCTGGTGGTGGCCAAGCCCTTCTCGGCCGCGGCGCGGGCGCGGGCCAACCTGCCGGTGGGGACGCCCATCTACCGCCTCATGCTGGACCCGTATATCGCCGTGGTGGCCGGCGCGCTCACCACTTGCAACATACCCCTCGCTTTCCTGGAACCCACCATCGCCACGTGGATGAAGCACACGATGGCGGCGTCGGAGTGGGAGATGGGCATGGTCTGGCTGCCGGCCTTCGTGCCTCACGTGCTGGGCGTCTACCTCACGGTGCGCCTGGCGGCGCGCTACCCGCACCTGCAGTGGCTCTACGGCGCGCTGGGGCTGGCGGTGATCGGTGCCAGCTCGTGCGTGGTGCCGGTCTGCCGCTCCTTCGCGCCGCTGGTGGTCTCGCTCTGCGGCCTCTGCTTCGGCATCGCGCTGGTCGACACGGCCCTGCTGCCCACGCTCGCCTTTCTCGTGGACGTGCGCCACGTTTCCGTCTACGGAAGCGTCTATGCCATCGCCGACATCTCCTATTCCGTGGCCTACGCGCTCGGGCCCATCGTGGCGGGCCACATCGTGCATTCGCTCGGCTTCGGGCCGCTCAGCCTTGGCATGGGCCTGGCCAACCTGCTCTACGCGCCCGTCCTGCTCCTGCTGCGCAAGGTGGGCCTCCTGACGCGCTCCCGCTCCGAGCGCGAGGTGCTGCTCGACGAGCCGCCGCAGGGTCTGTACGATGCGGTGCGCCTGCGCGAGTGCCCCGTGTCCGACCCGCACAGCGCGCCTCGCAGCCCGTCCGGCCCGTTTGCCGAGAGCGAGAGCGACTACACCGACTACTGCCCCCGCAGCTAGCAGCCCCCTCCTCTCCGCGCCGCCGCCGCTCGCGGCTGCTCTGCGAGCGCACCGGCCGGCGCAGCCTCAGGGCCTCCCCTCCAGCGACTTCCCCGGCGCAGGTCCCCGTCTTGACTTCCTCGGCCGCGACCCCTCTCCATGGCCTTTTGTGTGTCCCCCTCCCGCTCATCCAGTGGAGTGTGGAGCACTGCGGCATGCGAAGCGATGGGCTTCTTGCACAGAAAAGGCGTGCGGGCCTCTACCTCGGGGCCGCCCTGTGTAGGGCTGTGTGTCTGTCTGCCCTCCCTTCCACTCCTTAGCCCGCTGCGCAGCGGTGCCTCCCGCCCAGATCAATAAACCAGATGTGTCCCAGACTGAGTCTCTTCACTGACGGGGTGGGCGGCCAGGCACAGGGCCCGAGGGGAGAGTGACTTTGGTCCAGCCCCAACCCAAGTCTCAGCGGGGAACACGCGGAAGCCCGTGTGGCTCTTTCACTACCCAGACAGAGAGGTACAGACGGAAGAAGCACCCCAACAAGGGCTCTCACCCACGACCCCCATTCATGCCCCCTCAGCCTGTGACAGCTCCGCCTTCCTAGGCCCAGCTCAGCGCCCAGGGTGCCACCCCCGGGAGCCCGAGGACCCGCTCCCGCCCCGCATAGGCCCCGCCCCTCTAGGACTCGCCCGGCGTCAGACACCTGCCCCCGAGGCACTAGGGAGGGGTTTCCCTTTAAGCTGGGCACCCTACCTGGTCTAGGTTCTCCGAGACGGAGTGGGGCGGAGTTGTTCTGGGAAGAAGTGCCGCGTCTGGAAACTCCCATGTTAGAGAGCCAGGCTCCATCCTAAGAGGAGTGGGACTTGCTGTGTCCTTGCCATGCGGGTCTGAGTGGGACCCGAGAGGGTGCCAGTGCGGGATCTGATGCTAACCCCCACCCCTCCCCCCCTCCCCTCCCTTCCCCACCCCTTCCTGAGTGGAAACTGCCGTCCAGGGTTGTCAGAGGTCTCCCCACCTTGAGTGCGGGTCCCCAGGAGCCCCAGGCATGCCTCTGTGTGTCACTCCCAGTCCTAGAGCCCGCGGCCTGCTTAAGGCGGCAGAGTGCCCCCACTCCAGCCCGGACTGGCCCCCGGGGTCCAGCACCTGTGGTCAGACACGGCCTGTGGGGACCTGCAGGGCTGTGTGTGCAGGGCTGTCCGGTGCTGCCTGGCTGGGTGTCGTCTGGGCAGGGTCTGTCTTTGTGGGTCAACCTCTGAGGAACTACCTGGAGGCGGGGGAGGAGCGCTTTGCCTGGAGGAGTGTTTGCCTCTGGCCGCTTGTCTCTACGCATCCCCAGGTCGGTATCTCCCCCACCCCAATAGTGGCAGCAGAGAGGACCTGCAGTGAGGAACAAACAGGCCGCTACTATTATATTTTTTATTTATTTTTTATTTTTTGCTACTATTATTTTAAAAGGAGTTGTATGTGGTAGGGCTTGACCGTGGGGAGGGCACAGATTTCTCCAGATTCACCCTCCCCAGGGCTTTGCAGACGCAGTGGCGGCCAGGATAATGGGGTGGGGGTGGGGGTGGGGCTCGGGGCCAGGGGCTGGCTGGGCTGGGGCCATGGGCATGGGTGGGGCAGTGTTCTGCACGCCCTTCGCAGTGTGGATGCTGCTACCCTTGTACGAACTGGTCCGGGCTGGGCGGGGAGCTGGGAGGTGGGATCCCGGAAGGCTGCGGGGAGTGGGGAGGTGGGGGACAGAGGACGGAGAGGGAGGGAGGGAGGGAGGGAGGGAGGGAGGGAGGGGTGGGGCTGGGGGAGGGAGGAAAAGAAGGAAGGGCGGGAGGAGGAACAGGAGGAGAGGACCGGCGGGGCCGGATCGCTGGCAGCCGGCAGGTTGGGAGCCGCGGGGACCCGACCACGTCGTCGGAGGCTCTACCTCCGACAGAGGCAGCAGCCCCCACCCCCGCTCTGCTGACGCGCCCCCAGATCCCTCCAGCTCCCCTTCCGGCCCCCAGTGCTGCTCAGTGCGGCGAAGCGCGGCCAGCGGCCGCCGAGGAGAGCAGGTGAGAGGGCTGGGCTGGCGCGCGGGGAGCGGAGGGAGGCTCCGTCCAGAGGCCGCGCCAGGACCACACGCCTGGGACCCTCGAGTCCCGCAGGTCCCGAACGGCAGCGGCCGTCGTGGGCTCGCCCGGAGACTGAGGGGTTCCTCCCGAGTGGGGGCAGGGGACGGGGAGCAGGACGACGAGACGTAGGGGGCAAGGGCTTGGAGAGGCTTGGCCATCGGAGCTCCGGGATCCGCATGCATGTTCTCGCTTCTCCTGGACTCCAGCTGCTGCGTGCCAAGGGCTGCCCTTTCGGTGCCAGTAGGAGGGTCTGCAGGTCTCAGCTTGCCACCCTGAAGGACCCTCCGGCGCTCGCCTCTCTCCCATCCTGGAAGAGGCAGGAGGTGGGGAAAGGGCGACGGTAGCTAGCGGGAGTCAGGTGGGGCTGGGGTGGGGGGAGTCGCTGGAGCACAGGTGCAGGCAGAGCTGGGGTCGGGTCCCTAGGGCAGAGCCTAGATCTCTGCGGGAAGCCTTTGGAAGCCAGGAGGGGCACAGACAGACACCTATGCCCTCTAGACGCCGGACCAAGCCCTGGAGGAAGGGCAGCAGGCTCAGGGCAGGGACCTCCCCCCGCGCCCCCAGGGAACCACATTGCTGTGACCCCTGAGCCTCTCTGACCAGGGGTCCCTGAGGTGTGGCCAGTACCTTCCAGCTCCGGCGCTGGCCTGGGGCCAGGGCAAGAGGAAGCATGGGCTGCACTGGCTCTAGAGCCTTTACCAACCCGACCTTCCCCTGTTGCCCCCTCAGAACCTTGCTGTGCTGGGGGTGGACCCTCGCCTGGATACTGCTGCTTCCTGGGTAGGCAGGGCCACTCCTAAGCTGCATGGGCTGGCGGGTGGGGGACCACCTAGCCCAGAGCAGGCTGCTGTAGTGCTCTGAGGACTCGAAATTCTCTGCCTGGAACTTCCAGGCGCCCCGGGCTCCTCCATCCTGTACCGGAGTCATCCATCTTCCTGGATGCTCTGTCCTCGGGTCAACTGTGCCCATGCCCAGCCCCCACCTGGACTGAACCTGGGGGGGGAGGGTGTGGGGAAGGGGTTGGGAGGAATGGGTGAGTAGAAAGCATGGGGGTCTCTACAGGCTTACGTTAGCACAGTGGTTCTCAACCTTCCTAATGCCGCGACCCTTTAATACAGTTCCTCATGTTGTGGTGACCCCCAATTTCATTGTTACAAATTGAACATAATTAAAGCATAGTGATTAACCACAAAACCAATATGTAATTATATATGTGTTTTCCAATGGTCTTAGGTGACCCCTGTGAAAGGGTCGTTCGACCCCCCAAAGGTTGAGAACTGCTGGCTTAGCGGGATCTCTGAGGGTAGAGGTTGGGTCCTACTAGCCTTAAAACCTGGCCTTTGCTCCCCCTTGGTCTGGCTCCCTCCTGCTGCCCCTTCAAAACTAATCTCCAGACTATTAGGTGGCCCCCAGGGGATGGGGCTGCCCAGCTTCCCTGGACCACCCCCTTAGCACTCCTATGCCACCTGCACTGGGAACCTACTGTCACAGCCCACCCCATGGCGCCAGGGCTTTGCATTCACTGAGGTGTGCACTCGTGCACACGGGCGTTGATTTCACTCAGCTCCCCAACATGCATCCTACTCATGCACCTGCTAGGTCCCAGAGATGAAGCACTGAGCATGCCGCCCTGGAAAAACACGAAGTCTAGTGAGAAAGAGAGATTTTAATCTGCAAGGCACACAGCTATTGGGCCCCACGCAAGAACAAAGCCAGTGCTCTGCCAATACCCTTGTGGATCAGGAGTGGGCAAGCCCAGCCCTGCTCCCTCCCACACTGCCCTGGGGGAATCAGTTGGGCCCGGTGACAGCAGTCTGATGGAGGAGGTAGCAGCTGGAGGCTCACTTCACGCCCCGCCCGCTCTTATTTGGGGGCTCAGAGAGGACACTGTGCGGGGTGGTTGGTCTGGATGTGAGGAGATTGAGGCCAGGCCAACAATGAGGCCAGTGCACACTCTGTCCAGCTCTGGCCCCTCACAGGGTGCAGGTGGGTGTCAGGCTGCGGGAGGGGAAAGGCCCAGCAGGTGTGGCTGTTGTGTGGATGCCTCTCTGCTTCAGCAGCTCTGCACCTCTGTTTCCTCAGCCAGAAGTCACGAAGATGCCCATCCTGGAGAAAGCGCCCCAGAAGATGGCAGCAAAAACTCTCAGCAGTGAGGAGGAGACTGTGAGTAACTTTTGGAGCTCTCTCTCTTATCGCTACTCTCCCCACTCACATGCCCTTGGCTTCCAGAATAGTCCTGAATGGGATTTGCCCTCAGCATTTGCCTGACCCCAGCCCGCCCCTCTCTTGGGCAGGAGGCCCAGCTGCATCCCTGCCTGAGTCTGGAGGGCTTGGCGGCTCTAGGAACAGCTTCAAGGTGCCACAACCTTTTGCAGCAGGGGTTCAGGATCTGAAGAAGGGGCTGAGGCACAAATGAAAACACTGGACAAGAAATATGCATTTAGAAGGCATGGGGGGTTCAGGGGGAGACTCTTCCTCTTGGAGAGGCACACTGAAACCTGGCCTTACTCAGTTTTAGATACACATCTTACCCTCAGTAAAGCACAGCAAACAGGTAGCAGAGAGACCGTCTCCAAGATCAATAAAGATCAGTCAGGTTCAGTAAACATTTACTTTGAGGCTATTAGGTCAGGAAATTGCTTCAAGTCACCACTATCTCAACAGAACAATGGTACTTGGCATTAGTCCTGCTGACAACCAAGGTCCATCGGCCTTCCGAGTTCCTTGATGCACTCTCTGATAGTATGGGCAGTGGGTGGCTTCCCGCATCAACGGAAATGCTGATAGGCACACTCCCTAGCCCCACAGTGCAGGGGGAGCCCTTGACCTGGGCCAGATACTTTTATCTCCCAGGACTTCCCCCACCCCAAGTTCCACTTCCGTGCCACATCCCAGCCCTGGCTATTGTCACTAGTTCAGCTCTGGAGCTGTAGGTACCATCTTCCCCACTGACTTGAGACAAGACACCCTCCCTGGGAAGGCCTCCTCCCTCCCATCCCACTGACCTCCAGAGTGATAGAGCACATCTGATCCCCACAGTGTCACACATGTGTGTCCCTCTGCCACACTTGTCTTCTTGACATCTCCTTGACAACCACACCCCTCTCCACCCTCCCGTCCACCCCCACCCCCCTTGCTTCCTTTGAAACCCTGATCAGAACTTCCTGGACTCTCCCTGTGAAGTGGCTCACCACATCGTCCTGTCTGCTGCTGCTGTGTCGACACCTCTTTTGCTGCTTCTGCTCCATGGCGTGTCCCTCCCGCTGGGCTGTGGCTGCCTTGTCTCTCACTGAGCCTGAGTCCAGCCCAGGGCCTGGCCCACATGAACTGCCCAGGAAACGTGTATTGACCTGAGACCCCAGGGTCCAAAGACCCTGATTAGTGCTAGTCCCTGCCTCTGTTCCCACTGTGGGCCAGAAGCCCATGAGCTTCTAGGAGGAGCCACAAGGGGCTGAGACATCCAAGCAGAGATTTCCTGCCCAGCTCCTTTTACACATCACCAATTCCCCCCTGACCCAGGCTGAGTCCCAGGGCACTGACAGGGCTCAGGGAAGGGAGGCCTATTTTTAGCATGGGTTAGGGTCAGACATGCTGCCATCTTGGCGAGGCCACCAAATAGGCTGGGCTTTCTGTGGGTACTTACCCACTCACCTACCGCACAGATCCACGGCCCCAATAGAAGGAAGAGGGAACCAGAGCAGCTGGGGGGGGCGGGGGAGGCCTGCACCTGGCTCTCTGGAGTGGACTAGATAACCTGAAGTGCTGTCCAGACCTGTCCTCACGAGGTCCCCGGGTAGCAACAGCACAGAGCACCTGCAGCCTCCTTCCGTCCCCTAGGGTAGTGAGCTCTAGACACAGGGCCAGGCAGGTGGAGGACCCCCATTCATTCCTCAGCGCATGCTCAGTCCCATCTGCCCGGGCAGTCGTGGGGACTCCGGCCTGTGCAGCAGGAAGAGCAGAGTGGAGGAGCGCTTTCAACAGGCCCCTTCACTCCACCACCTGCCTGGGGCAGAAGGTCACCGCCCACCACCCTAGAGAGGAGAAACCCCTGAAAGAAGGCAGCCAACTTTGTAAAATTTAAGCGATAATACGAAAATTCCTGGTTTCCAATTGTGACCAGTTAAGTGAGGAAGGAAGGGGGCAGAAAAGAGAGCAAGGGAGACAGAAGAGAACAGCCGAGGAAGGAGCAGAATGAATATGGGATGAAGACTGACTTCAGGTCTCAGCTCTGCCACCAAATTGCTGGATGACCTGGGACTATCTACTCCCTGGGCCTCAGTTTCCTCCCCTTCAGTGAGGCTAAGCCATGATATGTGAGGTTCCTGGTGAACACAGCTGGTAAACTGAGAAGCATGGGGCCCATACTCCCTCCACACTTTGGGGGCCCCCAGAGATTATGAGACTCCTCTTGGGAATTCCTCTGGAAGGATAAGGACAGTAACATTGTAACATTTAATGATGTGCCTATTTAATGAAATGCTTCTCTCATTTTATTCTCTGCGGGCCCCTCTCAGGTAGGAATTGTCATTTATGTCCTATGGATGAGGAAGCTGAGACTGAGAAAGATTAGGAGAGGAAGGACTTCCACCTCACCCCACTCCCGTACCGACAGGGAGCAGAACCCCCTCTCTGGGTTTCATAAGTGCGAGGGATTTAATAAGGAGCCCAAGGCATGAGTCACCTTCCCAGGACACATCTTGCAGAATTCTGGTCATTAGGACAAGCAATGAACGATGTCTCCCACCCTCTTCCACCTGTCCACAGCTCTCCATTAGAGTCAATTGGATTCTAGAGCTCCAGCTGGGAACAGTTCCTAAATTAAGAATGACCAGCAATCACTATCAATTACAGGGCTATTTCATCTTAGACCCATTCACTAGAGTTGATGGGTCTTTCACATCAATGATCTCTTATTCTATAAGAGATAGAGGTTATTAATGCCATCTGACAGGGGGGGAAACTGAGGCACCGAGATAGGGGTGACTTGCTTAAGATCAAACAGCTAGTCAGCAGCAGGGTCAGGGATGAGTCCAGGTCTGTCTGGGATCACATCAAGGTCTTTTCCTCTGCACTTTATTCCTTTGGGGTCAGGGCTGAGGTATGGGAGAGAGCAAACAGGAACCTCCCAAAGTCACAATTCTGCTGAGCTGAGCCCTGGAAACAGATGAGTCTCAGGATAGGGAGCAAGGATGGTAGCAGATGGAGACAGACACTAGGCATCAACTTGGACAGGCCTGGGCCACACATGACAGGCACAGCAAGTACCTGTGACCCTCTTTTCCAGGAGCTGCCCAAGCTCCCAGTGCCCCCCCTGCAGCAGACCCTGGCCACTTACCTGCGGTGCATGCAGCACCTGGTGCCCAGGGAGCAGTTCCGGAGGAGTCAGGCCATCGTGCAGCAGTTTGGGGCCCCTGGTGGCCTGGGTGAGACCCTGCAGCAGAAGCTCCTGGAGCGGCAGGAGAAGACTGCCAACTGGGTAAGCGTTGTTGGGAGAGGGCTGACTCGGGGGGGGGGGGGGATGCGGGGGGGGGGGGCAGGCAAGGCATCCATGGGGCAGGAGATGGACTTGGAGGCAGAGGAATTTGGGGCAAAGGTGAGGAACAGACAAGATGTGGAATGTGAAGTAGGTATGGCTGGCAGATAGGGGAAAGGGATGGGGGACAGACAGGGACGAGGATGGGGCAGAGGGGCACAAGTTTGAGCAACTGTGGGTGACAGGGATGGGGCAGCAGAAGATAGTGATGAGGTCAGGGAAGCTGAGAGGGTGAAAGGCAAGAATGGGCCCTCATAAAGAGGGCAGGGGACATGGATGAAGCACCAGACACCAGGACAGGAACCTGGGGTGGGAGAGGAGAGAGTACAGGGCAAGGCTGAAGGGCAGGCTCCTGGGCTGCGAAACATGGCCCTAGCACATAACGGTGCAGCGTATGTTTGTGGAATGAATGAATGAAGTGCATGATCCGGTGAAGTGTCCCGACTGGCCCACAGGGCTGCCAGGTTGGGATCAGTGTGCTCCACAGGCAAGGTGCCCTTCTGGGAGGGGGTGTATGTGGCCCTTGTGGGTAATGGCTCCCCTTCCCTGTTCCCCCCGCAGGTGTCCGAGTACTGGCTGAACGACATGTATCTCAATAACCGCCTCGCCCTGCCTGTCAACTCCAGCCCAGCGGTGATCTTTTCCCGGCAGCACTTCCAGGACACCAACGACCAGCTCAGGTGAGGCCACCAGCTCCCGGCTCACAGCTGGGGAGCGGCCAGACGAAGGGTCCTGGCCCTGGCACCAGGAAGGAAAGGCTGAAGCTCGTGTCCTGGTGGAGCTTTCTGAGGCCACGTGGCGCTGAGACAGGGGCTGCCCAGGCCATGAAGTCAGCAAGGAGGTTAGGTGAGGCTGCACCTGAGGAACAAACACAAGGCCTGCCTCTGATGCATTTATAGGGGGCGGGGGGACTAATGGAGGGCATGGGCGCCCAGGTGTCCTCATAGCAGTCTTGACCTGGCTGAGGCCCTGGGAGAAGGTGGGTCCCCTCTGATCCTGCCAGTACTTGAGTCTGGGACTTGTCTGTGGGACACACTGCCCCGGGTGATCTGAGAGGCCCCTGCAGCCCCCAGCTCCGAACAGAGGCTCCGAGGAGTTGGCAAAGGTTTCTTCCCCCCAGCCGCCTTCGCCAGAGCCTGTGCCATCTGCTGCAATCTCACAGCTCACTGAGCCACTGCAATGGCCTCTGGGTCTGCTGATGACGGTGGAGGGACCATTCACGCAAGGGTGGGGCAGGGACGAAGGATCTCCCTGAAGGAGTCACTGAGCTCCAAATCCCGTGTCTGGTTTTAAGACCTGAATGGGACACAGTGTGGGACAGTTCAGGGAGAGGAAAAGAGCAGAAGGCAGGGCCCGTCGCCTAGAGGCGGGGCTCAGCTATGGTTGGGAGACCCCCCAGCCCGTCCTTCCTCATCAAGACCAGTCCAAAGGTCTGGGACACCTTCCCCCTCCCCTGCAGCCAGGGCCTCCCCTTCGCCAAAGGAAGTGAGTGGATGGATGAACAACTTCTGGGAACAGTTCTCAAAGTTGCACCGAAGTGGGCATTTTCCTCCGGATGCAATAAGCCGGGCTCATCATCCAGGAACAGTAATGGTGACACCATTCCGTGGCATGGTTCTCTGGTGTGTTTTCCTTCAGCACCCACCTTCCTTTTCATCAGCACTTAGGGGACCAAATTACTGACTTTCCCCAGGAGACTGAATTGCCCAAAACCCAGGATGCTGGCCCCGTCCAGCCCAGCATGAGCCTTTCCTGGGAAAAACCCCTGCTTTTCCAGCCCTTTCCTGCGGCTCTGTGGCCTCTCCCGGCTTCCTCTCCTCCTCCTTTGCCTCCTCATTCATATTTTAGTTCCCTCTCCTCCCCAAAGTTCTTTCCAGGGCACCATTTTTAATCCAAAGCTTGCCAAGTACTGACAGCATAGAGGTGGGTAGGGAGCAGCAGATAGCTCATCTTATTAGCAATACTCAGACCTGGCATCTGGTGGGTGGTTATTGAGTTTGGGAGAGATAGAAAGAGGGAGGGGGAAAGGGAGGGAAGGAGGTGGAGAGAAAGAAAGAAGAAAGAAAGAGAGAAAGAAAGAAAGAAAGAAAGAAAGAAAGAAAGAAAGAAAGAAAGAAAGAAAGAAAGAGAGAAAGAGAGTGGGAGGGCGGGAAGAAGGAAGGAAGGAAGGAAAGAGGGGGAGGTTGGAGACAGAGAGGGAGCCTGGGCCCCGGAGAGGAGAGGCTAAGGCCTCATCTCTCTCTGCAGGTTTGCCGCCAACCTCATCTCGGGAGTGCTCAGCTACAAGACCATGCTGGACAGGTAGGACTGGGCCCAGCCTGCGAAAGGCAGAGCCTTTTGATTCACCTTTCTCCCTGCCACAATAGACAAGGAGCTCTGGAGGGCAGTGACCCTGACATTGTTCAGCTCTGTGTTCCTGGCTCCTGTCAGAGGAGGTGGGACCACACCCACCCCAGCATCAGGATGACCTTTACCCCAGCTGGCCCAACCACCAATAGTTCCTTTTCCTGGTGTAAGCACTGTCCTACCTGGATCCCTTTAAAATGCCCCCTTCCTTCATGCCTTATGTGTACACGGGAGCATGTGCACCAGGAATCTAGGACACACACGAGAAGTGGAGAAGGGAGAGTTGTAGGAGCAAGACAGGTGAGTCATCCTTGCCACCTGCTACTCGAGGGGCAGGTTCTCCTCAGTCCAAGCCTTTTTACTTGGCTTCAACCCCACTTTCCCTTCTGCCTCAATCAAACGATCTCTGGTGTGTGTAAATATAATGAACTGTTTGTAAAACACTACAAAAATTAATTAGTAAAAAGTGGTACAAAGTATGAGATCACTTTTTGTTAATTCATATCTTAATTTTATTTTTTAATTACAGTTTACATTCAATATTATTTTGTATTAGTTTCAAGTGTAAAGATGAGTGTTTAGACAATCATATACTTTACAAAGTGTTCCTCCTGATATTTCCAGTAGTCAACTGGTACTGTATACAGTTATTACAATATTACATCCCCAATATTACTATTTTGAACTACCAATCTGTACTTCTCAATCCCTTCACCCTTTTCACCCATTTCCCCAACGCTCCCCTCTCCTTTGACAACTATCAGTCTACTGTCTGCATCTATGAGTATGTTTCTGTTTTGTTTATTCATTTCTGTTGTTCTTTAGATTCCACATATAACTGAAATAATATACTTATTATTTAATATACTTAATAAAATTTGTTTTTCTCTGATTGACTTATTTCACTTAGCATAATACTCTGTAGGTCCAACCATGCTGTAGCAAATGGTAAGATTACATTCTTCTTCATGGTAGAGTAAAATCCCATTGTATATATGTACCAACACTTTTACATCCATTTGTCTATTGATGGGCACTTGGGTTGCTTTCATATCTTGGCAATTATACATGTGCTGCAATGAACATGGGGGTGCATCTATTCATTTGAATTAGTGTTTTGTGTTTCTTCAGATATATTCCCAGAAGTAGAATGATGAGGTCATAGGCAGTTAAGTTTTTAATTTTTCAAGGAACTTCCGTATTGTTTTTTTTATAATGGCTGTACCAATTTTAAATCCAACAACAGTGAAAAAAGTTTCCCTTTTCTCCACATTCTCATCAACACTTTTTTTGTTGATTTAGTGACGATAACCATTCTGACAGGTGTGAAGTGATATCTCACTGTGGTTTTAATGTACATTTCTCTGATGATTAGTGATGTTAAGCATCTTTGTCTACAGGCCCTCTGTATGTCCTTTTTGGAGAAGTGTCTATTTAGGTCCTTCACCCATTTTTAACATGGATTGTTTGTTTTTTTGGTGTTGAGTTGTATATGCTTTTTATACATTTTGGGTATTAACCCCTTATCAGATGTATTGTTGGCGAATATGTTCTCCATTCAGTGGGTTGTCTGTTCATTTTGTTGATGGCTTCCTTTGCTGGGCAAAAACTTTTTAGCTTGAGATAGTCCCATTTGTTTATTTTTTCTTTTGTTTCCCTTGCCCAAGGAGATATATGTGAAAAAAATATTGCTGCAAGAAATACCCAAGATTTTACTGCCTATCTTTTCTTCTAGGATTTTAATGGTTTCAAGTCTTACACTTAAGTCTAATCCATTTTGAGTTTATTCCTGTATAGGGTATAAGAAAGTGGTCTAGTTTCATTTTTTTTTCTTATATCTTGTTCAATTTTTTTCAATATTATTTATTGAATAGACTGTCTTTAACCGATTATATATTCTTGCCTCCTTTGTCATGTATTAATTGGCCATATGGGCATGGGCTTATTTTTGAGATCTTTATTCTGTTCCATTGATCTAGATGTCTGTTTTTATGCCAATACCATGCTGTTTTGATTACTATGGCATTGTAGTATAGTTTGATATCAGGTAGCGTGATTCCTCCAACTTTGTTCTTCTTTCTCAAGATTGCTATGGCTATGTGGGGTCTTTTGTGATTCCATATAAATTTTAGGATTATTTGTTCTAGTTCTGTGAAATACACCATTGCTATTTTAATAGGAATTGTGTTGAATCTATGGATTGCTTTGGGTAGTACGGACATTTTTACAATGTTATTATTATTTTTTTTAATCCATGAGCATGGTACATGTTTGGTTTAATTTTTTTTTCTCATCAGTGTTTTATAATTTTCCAAGTATAAATTTACCTCCTTGGTTAAATTTATTCCTACATATTTTATTTTATTTGATATGATTGTAAGTGGGATTGCTTTCTTAGTTTCCCTTTCTGATAGTTCATTTCTGACATATAAAAATGCAACCAATTTTTGAATATTTATTTTGTATTCTGCTTCTTTACTGAATGCATACAATAGTTTTAGTAGTTTTTGGTGGAGTCTTTAGAGTTTTCTATGTGCAGTATTATATCAACTGCAAATAATGACAGTTTTACTTCTGTTTCCGATTCAGATGCCTTTTATCTTATTTTTCTTGTCTGATTTGGCAAGCCCCCAAATTCCAGGGTCCTGGTAGAACACGAAGCACACTGGGAAGCCAGGCAGCAAGGCAAACATCTTTCCTCCTGCAGGCGGCCGCGAGCACTGCACACTCAGCAGGCGATCTGCTCGGCTTTTTAATCCTGATACACTGTGACCTGTCCCTCACTCTTGATTGGAGCTCAGGCGCACAGTCTTTCACGATTGGCTAATTCAAAGAAAGGGGTGGGCCTTTGCTGTTTCAAGGTGGCGACTCCCAGGGAGCTGCAAGTCATGCAGCTGACATGGCGGCTGCCAAGTCCCATGAGCCAAAGTGGCGGCTGCCTCAACTGTTCTTTGACAGAAAAGATTACTTGTTTATTCTCACACCTCTATTCCCAGTATACTGAGAGTTTTTATCATAAATGGGTGCTGGACTTCATTAAATGTTTTTTTCTGCATCTATTGACATGGTTATATGGTTTATTTTTCATTTTGTTTATGTGGTATATGACATTTATTGATTTGCATATATTGTACCAATCTTGCATCCCTAGAATAAATCCTACTTAATCATGGTATATAATATTTTTAATGTATTGCTGGATCTGGTTTGCTAATATTTTGTTGAGGACTTCAATATCTATGTTCATTAAGGATATTGGCCTATAATTTTCTTTTTCTTTTTAATCCTCACCTGAGGATATTTTTCCATTGATTTTTAGAGAGAGTGGAAGAGAGAGGGAAAGACAGAGGGAAATATCGATGTGAGAGAAACATATGGATTGGTTGCCTCCTGGTACAAGCCCCAAGGAGCCTGCAAACGAGGTACGTGCCCCTGACCGGAATCAAACCCAGGACCCTTTGGTCTGCAGGCCAACGCTCTATCCACTGAGCCAAACCAGCTAGGGCTGACCTTTAATTTTATTTCTTTGTAGTGTCCTTACCTGGTTTTGGAATTAGGAGAATGCTGGCCTTGTAAAATGAGTTTGGAAGTCTTCCCTCCTCTGGATTTCTTTGGGATCGTTTGAGAAGGTTAGGTGTTGTTTCTTCTTTGAATATTTGGTACAATTCACCTGTGAAGCCATCCATCTGGCCCAGGACTCAGGTTTGTCAGAAGTGTGTGATTCCTGCTTCAATTTCATTAGTTGTGTTTGGTCTATTCAGATTTTCTGATTCTTCCTGATTCAGTTTAGGAAGATTGTATGTTTATGGGAATTTATCCATTTCTTCCACTTTGTCCAATTGGTTGACATATACTAGTAGTTGTTCATAATATTTTCTTATAATCTTTTGTATTTCTGTGGTGTCAGTTGTTACTTCTTGGTTTTCATTTCTGATTTTATTTATTTGGGCCCTCTATTTTTTTTCCTTGAAGAGTCTGATCAACGGTTTGTCAATCTTGTTTATTTTTTCAAAGAACCAGCTCTCAGTTTCATTGAGAATCTTAAAGATTTCACCAAAATGTTACTATTAACTGATAAATAAATTCAGTTAAATAACAGAAAACAAAATAAATATTCAGAAATCGGTTGCATTGTTTTGTATTTTTTAGGCTGTATTTCATATATTTCCACTGTGATCTTTGTTATTTTATTTCTTCTACTGTCTTTGGGCTTTTTTCCTAGTTCTTTTAGGTGTAAAGTTTGGTTGTTTATTTTATATTTTTTCCTGTTGTTTTGAGATAGTCCTGTAATGCTATGGTTTTTCCTCTGATGTAGGTTTGCTTTTGCTGTGTCCCTTAGATTTTGTGTTGTTGTGTTCCCATTTTCATTTGTTTTAAGGTATTTTTTTATTTCTTCCTTGATCTCATTGTTAACTCATTCGTTGTTTAATAACATGTTATTTAACCTCCATGTGTTGTATGTTTTTCACTTTCTTTTAAATTGATTTCTCATTTCAAAACATTGTGGTCTGAGAAGATGTCTGACATGATCAATCTTCTTAAATATATTGACTTGTTTTGTGTTCTAACATGGGATGAGACCACTTTTATTATTAGATTCAAAGACATAAGATTCCTGTTACAAATGTTTCTGTAAGCACCCCATGTTGTGGGTTGGTCTTTACAGTTCAGTTTAATACTCACACTTGGAGCAGTGGGGTGGTGGGACACCCACCCAGTCACCTTGATTGGCCCCAGCTCTTCTCATGGCTGCCTTTTACCCTCATGGCTCAGCTCACATGTCCCATCATCAGCAAGCCTGTCCCTGGCCACACCTCCTTGTCACCCTGGCTCCCTACCTGAAACCCTCCCATTTACCAGTTTGCTGCTTGTTATCTGTGCCCCACTCCCATGTTCTAGGACCTGCGCCCCTTAGAACAGGAAACTCATCTCTTGTTTGCTGCCATATCCTCCCAGATCCCAGAATGGTGCCTAGCACAAAGGAGTGCGCAATAACATTTGTTGTCTGAAAGGTTAGAGGGAAGGAAGGGGAGAGAAACATGGGGGAAGAAAGAGAAGGAGGAGGGAGAGGAAGAGGGAAAGGGAGGGAGGAAGGACACAAGATAGGCTGAGGCCACAGGGAAAAGAGAATATTCTGCCTTGAACTCAGAGGAGGCTTCTAGAAGAGGTGATGGAGTAGAAGGGGTTTTCTAACAAATTAGCTGAGCACAAGGTGGGGGTGAAGGCATGCTAAGCAAAGATCAGCATAAGCAAAGGCAAAGGGGGCTAAAACAGTAAGATCTGCACTCAAGTGCATGAGTAAGGGAGGAGGGAGACTAATGAAGGTGCGGGAAATCCCTGAGGATCCTCTTGGCCATGGAAATGGGCATTCCACTCCTTTAAAAAGTAGAGATTTAAGCTCCTTGACTGCCATCACAGTGCCGTTCTCGTTTCTGTGCCCCGCTTTGCCTAATCAAGTTGCAGTAGAACCAATTCTGACTTCCTGCCTCGCTCCCCACTCTCCCCCTCCAGTCACTCCATCCCCACTGACTGTGCCAAGGGCCAGCTGTCAGGGCAGCAGCTCTGTATGAAGCAATACTATGGCCTCTTCTCTTCCTACCGCCTCCCTGGCCACATCCAGGACACGCTGGTGGCCCAGAAGAGCAGCGTCATGCCGGAGCCGGAGCACATCATTGTGGCCTGCTGCAACCAGGTAAGCGGCCCCCGCTGCAGCAGCCTCTTGGGCTCGGGGAGGAAACATGTGTGCTCAGGCATTCCTGCTTTTCCAAGGGTGCTCACCCCCTCCCAGAGCCACACAGTGAGCTGGGGCGGAGTGGCCCCAAAGTGGGACCTCCGGACTCCCTGTCGGTTCCATTTCTCTCCACTGGTTGGACTTTCAGAATGAGGAGAGTCACCGATTAAGAACACCTTCAGTGGGCTGCCATCCAGCCTGACCCTCCAGGTCAGGTCAAAGAGCTGCCTGGAGAATGGACTCAGGGTCATCAATGAGACCCTGCAAGGCCTCAGAACCTCCACATGCAGTGACCGGGGCCGTGACCTTCCCAGAAACTATACACAGACAGACAGCTTTGCAGATTGTTGGGACCTCCTTGCCTTTTTATCTGCACTCACTAGAGTGTTTGAGATCTATCCCTGTAGCTGTATATGCAACTAGTTTGTTCCTTTTCACTGCTGGGTAGGCGTACACTGGACAAGTACATACATTTTACTTAGCGTCTCCTACTGGAGACATTTAGGTTCTCTCTGCCATTTTGCTGCTGCAAACTGCTCATATGTGCATTCCCGTATACATGTTTCGGGGCACAAGGGTATATGTTTCTCTAAGCCTTAGGCTAAAATGTGTATTTATAAGAGCAATTGCTGAGTCATTGGGTATACACATTTTAGTTTTAATAGACACTGTCCCCCAACAGTGGTTGTGCCAATTATACTCAATTCCCCGTAAATGTAGTGCTTTTATAAGAACTAAGAACCACAAAAGCAAGTGTTCATTTAGCTAAGTTTAATGTGAACTTCTCTGAATTGGAGCAGCTTGGAGTCCAGCACAGTTAACAAAGTTGAGGTGGTCCCCAACTTGTGACTACTCGGAGCCATGACTACATGGGAACCTTGGGCCTGAACATCTCCATCCATTCTCAGATCTGAAGGTTCAGTGAAGGCCTGGCACCTGGCCCGGCTGCCGTGAGTGATGTGTTTGACCTGTTTCCCCACAGTTCTTTGTCTTGGATGTTGTCATTAATTTCCGCCGTCTCAGTGAGGGGGATCTGTTCACTCAGTTGAGAAAGATAGTCAAAATGGCTTCCAACGAGGATGAACGCTTGCCTCCAATCGGCCTGTTGACATCAGACGGGAGGAGCCAGTGGGCCGAGGCCAGGACAGTCCTCGTGAAAGGTCAGCCGCAGTGCCCAGCGCATCTCCACGCCCATCTCATCCTCACGTCCATCGGCTTTCCCTCCGCCAGGGTCGGGAACCATGCCTCATCCCCATCTGCCATCGCACTGGAGCTGAGGCCTCCCTCCAACTCAGGACCCGGTGGCAAGTCTTGCTGTCAGCTGAGGTTCCTTGATGCTGAAGGCACCTTTGGTACCTCTTATTTCATCTGACCATGCTCCAGCTCTCTGGGTGACACTGGCTAGCACTGGAACCCTGGGATTTCTGGGAACACTAGCGGGGGGCAGTGGGGAGGGAAGATTTTGAGCTGGAGGAAGGCTGGCAGCAATTAAGCAGTTGTGCTTTACTTGTTGGCAGGGGTGGTTCTCATTTGAGGGGTCTGAGTTGCTGGGAGAGCCGTCAGATGAGGATTTGGGATGGAGCCCACCTCTGGGAGGGTAGTTGGCTGCCTTCTTTATATGAATTTTTGGTCCTAAACTTTTCATAGTTAAGCTGAGAGTTTCCAAGCACCCCTATAAGAAATCCAGTTATAGTCTTAACATTTTAAAATCATTCTTCTGGAAACTACTTTTCAAATCCAAAGCCAGCTCTATTCCCAGGAACTGGGAGAGCCTTCCTTTCTTGCCCATGTTAGAGACTCCGGGATGAGAGGTGAGACTTCCATAAACCTCCATCTGTCCTTCAGGTTTTCATTTGGCCCGGTGTCTATCTAGACTCCCCAAGTGTCTGCAAGCTGAGGACTTGTGCTAGGCCTGGGGAGTGTAAGAGATAGGATGAAGTGCCCTCCAGCCCACTAGATGAGAACAGGGGAAGAGAAGGCACAGGGGAGCAGGTTCAAATACACAGTAATGTGATATTTACCCATGTAAAGTAACAGAGACAGCAGTGCTAAATAACTGCGTCAGGACTTCAGAGTGGGAAGGGAGCCCTTCTAATTGGGAAGATTTCAAAAGGCTTTGTTGGAAGAGGTAGAAATTGTGCAAATCTCTGTGACATGAGTGAGAACTGCAGGAGGGATGGGTGGCATACAGGCTGGCAGACTGGGGGTGGGCAAAGTGGACTGCCCATCAGGGACATCTGCTCTGCCAGTACCATGAGGAGAGCAGCCAGGCTGGCAAAGTGGCCATGCTGACCGTACTAGTAGAGTGAGGAGGTAGCAGGCCTGGATCTCTGGCAACAGGCACTGCATTTTCTGGTCCCCTCCCTAGAACGTTCGTCCCACAGGGCTGGCTGGCTCTTTGCACTACTCAGAGCTCAGCTCAGCTTCGACACCTCAGGACTTCCTTGAGCGTTTCTCCCCAATTATATTCTGTCCCTTGGTCCTGTTTTCTCCTCTTGATCACCTGTTTCACTCCCCAAAGTCAGCTTTTCCTTTGCTTGATTCCTGCTGATTATCTGCTGCCCTCCCCCAGTCAATAAGGTCCAGGAGAACAGTAAGGGCCCAGCTGTATTTGTTAAATAAAAGAATGAAGGGTTATTAGGAATACTGGGGCCCAGACTTATTTCCCACTTACCAATGAACTATTCTTTCATTCAATTGTTGGGCACCTGTGAATACTTGGTTCTAAATCGGGGTTGCACAGGCCACAGGGAAGTTGGAGAGCTGAGCCTGTTCTCATGAACCTAGCCGCCAAATTGGAGAATTAATAACATCATTTGAAAGTGAGTTCATTCCCTCAGTAGACCGTGGTCTAATCAAATCCCACCCTTCTCCCCTCCGGGGACAGTGACAGGCATCAAAATAATCGCTTTTGCTTCCAGTACAGTTTCCACTTTATTAGCAGGCCAGGCCAAGCCATCTCCCTGCAGGACTACCAGGGATTGCCTGGAGGTCTCAGTGCTTGGGCTGCCCTAATTGGAATTAATTTGTTAATGGCACTTGATCTGGTTTTCTGAATGGAAGTACTGTTTCTGTGGGAAACGTGACAGAAAGGAGGGGGTGCACACGCCTTCCCTTTGGAAATTCAATTAATTCAGTTAGCACTGACTGTGTCGTCTGTGTGGCAGGAAACCATTTCTTCCCAGAGCCCTCTTCTCTAGAGCAGCCCTTTCCCACAGAAGGCAAATGGAGAGACCATTTAGAAAACAATTCCAGTGTAAAAGTAAAAGATTATGACAGCTTGGGCTAGGATTAAGAGGGAGAATAGAAAGACATGGGTGGGGTCTAGATATATTTCAAAGTAGAAGAAGGACAAAAGAAGTGAGAAGTGTTTCCAGGTCTTTTATTTGAGCAACTGAATAGATGGTGGTCTTATTCGCTGAGATGGGAATCAGGTTGAGAAAGTGGCTATGAAATGGAGAAGTCCTTTCCAAGTATGTCAGGTCTGAGATGCCTTGAGTCATCTAAGTGGAGACACCAAATTAGATCTATGTGTCTGGAACTCAAGAGAGAGGTCAACACGGAGATATAAATTTGAGAGCCATCAGCACATAAGTGATATTTAGTCATGGACCTGAGTGAGATCATCTAGAAGCAGAAGAATGGGGCATCAGAGGCCAGATAGAGAAAGATGCTGAGGGCATTGAGAAAGCAGCCCTGAAATCAAGAGAAAACCAGATGAGTCACAAAGATCCAAGATGGAAGGAAGCTGCAGAGAGCTCAAGGAAGAGTCACCAGTGACCTTCACAAAGGCCAGACTGGAGTAGTGGGAAGAATGAATGGTCATATGCTGATGGAAGTGATCCAACAGCAGGAGGAAATTGTGTTTGAGGTCAATGAGTAGAATTAGTAAGTGTGGATGACACTTTTCAGACATTATGGGATTAAAAGGAGCAGAAAAATTCGGGAGTTGCTAGAAGAGGGTTGGGGTCAAGGGAAGTGTTTTTATTAGTAAACGCAAGGGCATGATAGTATGTAGACAAATACATGGACATAATCCCATAGGATAATTAATGAGGAGAGAGGTGATAAATAAAGGGGTAAAATTATTGCAAAGAAAGAAGATGGAACCCAGATAATAGAGGCCTTTGGTTGGTGCCAGGAAAATGGAGATCAGAGGTCCATAAGACTGTGCTGTGGTAGTGGAAGTATGAGGAGGTTTCCAACTGGTAACTTCTGGTCTCAGATTAGCAGAGCATGGCCATGAGCTGAGTGGCAGAGGATGGTATTCTGAAGACAAAAGAGAATGCATGAGTCCTAACCAGCTTGACTCAATGGATGGAACATCAGCCATAGACTGAAGGGTCCTAGGTTTGATTTCGGTCAAGAGCATGAATCTCAGTTGCAGGCTCGATCCATGGCCCTGGTCAGGGTGCATGTGAGAGACAACCAATCAATGTGCCTCTCCCACATCAATGTCTCTCTCTCTCTCTCTCTCTCTCTCTCTCTCTCTCTCTCTCTCTCTCCCTCCCTTCCATTCTCTCTAAAAGTCAATGGAAAAATATCCTCAGATGAGGAGAGAGAGAGAGAGAGAGAGAGAGAGAGAGAGAGAGAGAGAGAGAGAGAGAGAGAACGCATGAAATAGCCTCTTGGAAAGTAGGAAAGAGAGCTTACTCATGAAACTTGATAAGATTTATGGACTGTGTCAAGCTCATATTTGAGGATTTGGGGTCATACATTTAGGAAAAACTAATTAGCATTGTTTTGCAGTTTCCCTCCACAATGTTCAGCTCCTCAGGTTCAGGCAAGAAGGTATATCACCAGGTTTAGCCAAGGTTGGTGAATAAGACCGAGGGAAAGGGGGAGGTGTGGGAAGGGAATGGTTATAATGTTGGAATCTAAACTGAGTTGCTAGGGCTACCATAACAAAGTACCACATTCTGAGTGCTACCCAACAGAAATGTATTTTCTCACAGATCTGGAAGCTGCAGGTCTGAGATCGAGGTATCAGAGGGGTCAGTTTCTTCTGAGGTTCCTCCCTTTGGCTTGCAGATGGCTGTCTTTCCTTGTGTCTTCACCTGGTCTTTACACTGTGTCCTAATTTCCTCTTCTTATAAGGACACCAGTCAAGTTGGATTAGGCCCCATCCTGATGACTTCATTTTACTTAATTACCTCAATAAAGACTCCATGTCCAAACACAGTCTCATTCTGAGAAACTGGGGGTTAGGACTTCATCTTAGGAATTTTGGGAGAACACAATTTATCTCACGATGGGAGGGAAGTGAAAGACAGAGGTGCATAATGGATAATGGAAATAGGTAGTGTGATTCATGGTTTGGGGGATGTCATTGACACGAGTCATGTTGCAATGGGGGTAACCGACTGTGTGAACCAAAAGGTGATGAGTATGGTCAGAAGGTTGGATGCTTGAAACTGAGACTTCAGGAGGTGTCCCTGGTCCTGAATTCCCAGATGTGATTATGGAAGTGGGGACTGATGTTGGACTGCCACAGTGGGGAGGTTGAGAGTCTGAGAGAAGAGGATGTGAGCTGGGTTATCCACATGGACATTGTAGTGATGGGGAGGAGGAAGCTGAATCAGGAGCCCAGATCTGCACGCTGATGAGTTGTGAGAAGGTTGGTGGAACACAGCAATTAAGGGAGTGTTGGCTATGATGGGAAGGTAAACGTCTAGCAGGTGCAACTACAAAGGGAAAGGGGGGAGGAGGAGTCATTTAGGGGTGGGAACAGGGAGAATAAAGTCACCTACCTGACCTGGCCCTTGGGGACATGAGTGTCAAGGAAAAGAGTCTGTGAAAGGGCACAGGGATGTGTAACCCTCAGGGGATACCACCTTCAGGTGAGGCATAAGGTGAACAGAGAATGCATTCAGAAGAAGTTAATGATGCAAGGGGACTAGCCATCACTAGTCAGGCATCAGGAAGGGTTCAGGAAGGAGGAAAGGCGAGGGCAACAGACCCAGGAACAGCGGCCATCATTGCCCACAACACTCCCCAATTCTTAACTCCTGGGAGCTACTCTCTCCTAGTTCCAGGCAGGCCTGTCTGGTGGTTATGGGGCTGGGACATCTTTCCAACTCCATAGCGGCATCACAATTAACACCACGGGGTGGGTGCTTTCCAGGCCATCTCTGCTGAAGGCCCAAGGTCTCCACCTCCC